GAGAAAGAGAGAGGGGGCAGATTGAGAAAGGAGGGATGGAAAAGTGAGGGAAGGAGATGAAGGAGGTGCAGAAAGTGGGGAATTTAAAGAGGAATAGGAGATAGAAAGAAAGGGGGAAGATCTAGGGGTTAAAGCATGAGGGAGAGAGTGAATATAAGGAAGATTTTGGATGGAGAGAGGGAGGCTGAGTGGAAAAGGGAAAGGAAGAGAGATAGACAACGTGCGAGAAGAAGCAGAAGTAGAAGAAGGGTGAAAGAGGGAGAGAAGTGAGGGAAGTGGAGGAAGAGTGAAGGGAAAGGGAGAAGTGGAGGAAGTGGATTGGGAAAGAAGGTGAGGAAGGGTAAAGTGATGTCAACATCCCTCTTATTTTGGAAAAATAACTATAATAATCCACATGAATCAGGGTCAAACATTTGATAAAACAGGTCTGTTCCTACTTGAAGCAGTATTTGTTCATGGACAATTGGATATTGTAGTGCTCAGACTGTCAGATTTTAAAGTTGTATTAGTTAACACGGATATTGCTATTGTATATACACATCTCTTGCACAGGTAACAATAGGATTTATATGTAATTTAACTGAAAATCATTTTTAATAGCCTATCTGAGGGGACACTCATTGAAGCTTGATGTGACCTCTGTCCCGGGTTTGGAACAACAGACATGTTATTCACAATTGGACAAGTTAAGGAAACATGTGGAGCAGAATATGGATCTCTGTGTAAAATATATTAGTTTGACACCTTTAGACTTTAACACAGTGAACAGATTCCTTATGGACTGCCTTTGGAAAACCTTATCAACTTCTTTAAAATGGAATGTTGATGGTGAAATCTTCAAGCTTTTGACATCTCAAATGGAGTCAAATAAAGTTGTGTTTTAGCTCCTGTGTTATTTATCTTTTTTTTTTTTTCTTCTTCTTCTGCCACCCGAACTGTGCTCTAATTGGCCTCCATAAGGGCATATACATCAAATACAGATTAGATGGCTCACTGTTTGATTTCACAATTTTTCTGATTAAACTGTTCAGATTTAGAATAAGCTTAACATCCCTTTCACACAGACTCTGTTGATTCGACTGGAGGATTCCTCATGGTTTGGCCCCCGCACGCTCATGGACCACTGTGTCGATCTTGGGCTTGTCATCGACCTCACCAACACAACTCGTTACTACGATCCCAAGGTGGGTGGTGGTGCCATATTTATTGCCCCTGTCACTAGTGGAAAGGCTGACTGTAGGTTTTGTAGTTTTAGCCATCTTGGGTACAGTGCATTTGGAATTTGGTTCACAATGTCATTGGTCCTCATAAACTCATTAACTTACCCCAAATTAGAGACTTTTATTAAATTTTTGCCAGAGGATGTCTTAGCCCAACATAGATGCCATTAAATTCTGGAACCAGGAATTTTTAAATGATTCATTAGCATTGTGAGATAAGGAATTGCTTGAGGAAGAGGTGATGTTAATGTAATTCTTCAAGTGTGAATATTTTTATGGCATCAGTTATGAGCTCCGATGCTTCTAGTTATTAGTATTGCCATTATGATTATTATTGTTATAGTTATCATCATTATTATTATTATCTTTTTTTAAATTTTGATCTTTTTCCTTATTGCTTTTGCCATTGAATTATTATTATGTAATTTGAGTTAACGTTTTAGTTGTAATTAACCCATTTGATATGGTTGTGTCATGGCAGTCACATGGCCCAAAATACTGGCAATGGGTTTCTTAAGTGGCCGCTCTCCTGGGCAAGTGATGGGTAGGCTGGTTGCATGTGAATGCTTGTGTGCGGTGACAAGACTCTGTGCCTCCCTCTGCAAATTTATTTTGCATAAACCTATTTAGCTTTTTTACCATTTTCCAATGCCCTCATTTGTCTTGATTTACTTTGTTCAGATGGTAATAGATTATTTTCCTTGCACAGACTCTGTATCATCTCTATGTAGTAAATTACTCAGTAGAAGAAAAACAAATATTTAACATTTTGTTATATGTATCATTTTTTTGTGATGTTCAATTTTCTGTTCTACAACCTGCGCTGTTCATGTCACCTGGCTGTCAACACAAATTTTTCCATGATGCCAGGATGGTCACGTCACTTGGATTATTGGGTTAATTTAGGCAATAGTCTATTCAGGTAACATTTTTACAAGTTTGATTATTAGAAAAAATCTGTCGCCATTTTATCATAAGAATTAGGAAATATATTATTTTCCATGCTAGTGTTGTGATTTACATCACATGATATTTATTAGTGTAAGTAATGATCACAGTAGTACTTGTGGCAACATTATCATTGATATTCTAAAGATATATTACTATTGTTAGTTCTCTTATGATTATCATAACTGTTGTCATTAATGGAGTTCTACTCTTATCTAACCTCTTTCACATGGTGGTGGGTGCGGCAGGAGTTCACAGACCACGGCATCCAGTACGCCAAGGTGTTTACGGAAGGGCACAAGATCCCCAAGGACAAGGTCGTTAAGGAGTAAGTAGCCATGGATATCTGTGTGTGTGTGTGTGTGTGTGTGTGTGTGTTGTGTGTGTGTGTGTTGTGTGTGTGTGTGTGTGTGTGTGTGTGTGTGTGGTGTGTGGTGTGTGTGAGTGTGTGTGTTTTGTGCGTGTGTGTGTGTTTGTGCGTGTGTGTGTGTTTTGTGCGTGTGTGTGTGTTTGTGCGTGTGTGTGTGTTTGTGCGTGTGTGTGTGTGTGTGTGTGTGTGTGTGTGTGTGTGTGTGTGTGTGTGTGTGTGTGTGTGTGTATTTTTTTTACATGTATATATATGTATTTATATGTATTTATATGTATATATATGTATTTTATATGTATATATGTATATATGTATTATATGTATATATATGTATGTATATGTATTTATATGATATATATGTATTATATGTATATATATGTATATTATATGTATATATATGTATTTATATGTATATATATGTTATTTATATGTAATATATTATGTATTTATATGTATATATATGTATATATATGTATATATATGTATATATATGTATTTATATGTATATATATGTATTTATATGTATATATATATGTATTTATATGTATATATATGTATTTATATGTATATATATGTTATATATGTAAATATATGTATTTATATGTATAATATGTATTATATGTATATATATGTATTTATATGTAATATATGTATTTATATGTATATATATGTATTTATATGTAATATATGTATTTATATGTAAATATATGTATTTATATGTAAATATATGTATTTATATGTAAAATATATGTATTTATATGTAAATATATGTATTTATATGTATAATATTATTTATATGTAAATATATGTATTTATATGTAAATATATGTATTTATATGTAAATATATGTATTTATATGTAAATATATGTATTTATATGTAAATATATGTATTTATATGTAAATATATGTATTTATATGTAAATATATGTATTTATATGTAAATATATGTATTTATATGTAAATATATGTATTTATATGTAAATATATGTATTTATATGTAAATATATATATTTATATGTAAATATATATATTATATGTAATATATATATTTATATGTAAATATATGTATTTATATGTAAATATATATATTTATATGTAAATATATTATATTTATATGTAAATATATATATTTATATGTAAATATATGTATTTATATGTAAATATATATATTTATATGTAATATATGTATTTATATGTAAATATATGTATTTATATGTAAAAATATATGTATTTATATGTAAATATATATATTATATGTAAATATTATATATTTATATGTAAATATATATATTATTTATGTAAATATTATATATTTATATGTAAATATATATATTATATGTAAATATATATATTTTATATGTAATATATATATTTATATGTAAATATATATATTTATATGTAATATATATATTTATATGTAAATATATATATTTATATGTAATATATATATTTATATGTAAATATATATATTTATATGTAAATATATATATTTATATGTAAATATATATATTTATATGTAAATATATATTTATATGTAAATATATATATTATATGTAAATATATATATTTATATGTAAATATAATATATTTATATGTAAATATATATATTTTATACTGTAATATATAAATATTTATATGTTAAATATATATATTTATATGTAAATACATATATATTTATATGTAAAATACATATATTTATATGTAAATATATATATTTATATGTAAATATATATATTTATATGTAAATACATATATTTATATGTAAATACATATATTTATATGTAAATATATATATTTATATGTAAAATAATATTATTTATATGTAAAATAATATATTTATATGGTAAATATATATATTTATATGTAAATATATATATTTATATGTAAATATATATATTTAATATGTAAATTATATATATTATAATGTAAATATATATATTTATATGTAAATATATATATTATATGTAAATATATATATTTATATGTAATATATATATTTATATGTAAATTATATATATATATGTAAATATATATATATATGTAAATATATATTATATATGTAATATAAATATAATAAATATATATATATATATGTAATTATATATATATATGTAAATATATATATAATTATATATGTAATAATAATATATATTATATGTAATATATATATTATACATATATATGTAAAATATATATTATATATGTAAATATATATATATTAATATATATATATGTAAATATATATATTAATGTAATATATATATATTAATATATATATATATATTTATTAATGTAAATATATATATTTATATGTAAATATATATATATTATATGCATATGTATATATATGCTAAATATATATATTAATATAATAAATATATATATATAGTATATATATTTATATATATATTATATGTATATATATATATATTTATATATATATATTTATAATATGTATAGATATATATATATATGTATATAATATATATTTNAGTGTTGTTTAATAGTCTTTATTATTCCTTGTTTTTTTATTATTTATTGTGATTATTGTTTTTTGTTATGATTTTTTCGGTTTTGTTATATTTCTTATAGTATTTCCTTATTTATTATTATTATACTTTGATCTGTTCATTTTATTATTTTCATTTTTTTTATTGTTCTTACTTTATGATCTTTATTATTACCTTTATTTCTAACTTTCTTTCTTCCTTATCGTCTGTCTCGATTTACATTTTTTTTACTGAATTATGAAACTATTTATTCGTTATTATGATCTTTCTCTCCTTTTTTATTTTTCCCTTTTATTCATTCTTTTTTATATTTCGACCATGTGTGTCTGTGGAAATACATCAAAGTGTTTGCAAAATAACATTTATATTTGATGAAGATGTCTACGGTGAATTATTCCACGCACGTTTTTAAGAGCATTCGTAAATGTCTTCATTTTTTCTTTTCTTTCTTGTGTTTTCTCAAGTCTTTCTCTTTTCTTCTCATTCCTCCCTTCTTGTGATTTCTCTTCTTTCTCTTTTCTTCTCATTCCTCCCTTCTTGTGATTTCTCAAGTCTTTCTCTTTTCTTCTCATTCCTACACTCGTGTGATTCTTCTTTCTCTTTTCTTCTCTCTCTCTTCTTGTGATTTCTCGTCTTCTCTCTTTCTTTCACTTCTTGTGATTTCTCAAGTCTCTTTTCTTTTCTCATTCCTCCCTTCTTGTGATTTCTTTCGTCTTTCTCTTTTCTTCTCATTCCTCCCTTCTTGTGATTTCTCAAGTCTTTCTCTTTTCTTCTCATTCCTCCATTCTTGTGATTTCTTACGTCTTTCTCTTTTCTTCTCATTCCTCTCTTCTTGTGATTTCTCAAGTCTTTCTCTTTTTCTTTCATTCCTCCCTTCTTGTGATTTCTCAAGTCTTTCTCTTTTCTTCTCATTCCTCCCTTCTTGTGATTTCTCAAGTCTTTCTCTCATTCTTTCATTCCTCCCTTTTGTGATTTCTCAAGTCTTTCTCTTTTCTTCTCATTCCTCCCTTGTGATTATTTCTTGTACGGTGTCTGTACGGTGTTGCGTACAGACACACTCGTACATATATACGTACGGACATGGATAAACACATACATACATGAATATATAGATACATAGATACATGCATACTTACATACATGTCTACGAACATACATATATACATATGTACGTACATACATGAATACGTACGTGAGCGTGCGTGTATGTATGTATGTAATCGTATATGTGTGTGTGTGTGTGTTTGTGTGTGTGTGTTTGTGTGTGTGTGTGTGTGTGTGTGTGTGTGTGTGTGTGTGTGTGTGTGTGTGTGTGTGTGTGTGTGTGTGTGTGCGTGCTCACGTGTGTGTGTGTGGGCGTGTCTGAACACCTTTATTTTACTTTCCAATTAAATGGTCCAGGTAATCCCATCTGACGCCTTCAACACCTCCCACCTGTCGATGAATGATTACGCACAACAGTATCCTCATTGCCGACCGCTGTTCCTCGGTCGACGCGAAAGGGTTAATGTGCAAAACAAGCGACCCGAGGCCAGGCAGGGGACGCGCAGGCAAGCACTCAAACTAATCATGTTTGGGACGTGTTATGGAATTGGCGTATGGTGATGGGTGATGAGGAGGGAGGAGAGAGAGAGAGAGAGAGGAGGGAGAGAGAGAGAGGAGAGAGACGAGAGAGAGAGAGAGGAGAGGAGAGAGAGAGAGAGAGAGAGAGAGAGAGAGAGAGAGAGAGAGACGAGAGAGGAGGAGAGAGAGAGAGAGAGAGAACGAGAGGAGAGCGAGAGGAGAGAGAGAGAGAGAGGAGAGAGAGAGAGAGAGAGAGGAGAGAGAGAGAGAGAGAGAGGAGGAAGAGGAGAGAGAGAGGGAGGGAGAGAGAGAAGAGGAGAGGGAGGGAGAGAGAGGAGAGAGAGAGAGGAGGGAGAGAGAGAGAGAGGAGGGAGAGAGAAGAGGGAGGGAGAGAGAGAGGCGAGAGGGAGGAGAGAGAGAGAGAGAGAGAGAGAGAGAGAGAAGAGAGAGAGAGAGAGAGAGAGAGAGAGAGAGAGAGAGAGAGAGAGAGAGAGAGAGAGAATTGCTGCTCTTGGTAATGTCCTTAATAGGGATGGTCATGAGTGCTTGATGTCGCTGTTGGAAGTAATGATATTGTTATGAGAGGAGTTCGGTGGGTAGGTTGTGGTGAAAAAATGAGAAATGTTCATAAATGTATATATATATATATATATATATATATATATATATATATATATATATATATATATATATATATATATATATATATATATATGCGTGTGTGTGTGTGTGTGTGTGTGTGTGTGTGTGTGTGTGTGTGTGTGTGTGTGTGTGTGTGTGTGTGGTGTGTGTGTGTGTGTGTGTGTGTGTGTGTGTGTGCGCGCGTGTGGTGTGTCTGCATGTGTGAGGTTGTGTTTCGTGTATGTGTGCATGTCGTGTGTTCTGGGAATA